ATATAAGATGCTTTTACTGTTTGCAATGTCTCTCCTTATATGGGTCTTTGCATGAATGCAGCAAATATTTGGAATGGTAACTGTTAAGACACTCCCAGCATAAATGAGTGAAACCGCCATTTAGTGGATCTTCCCCCCTTTAGAGACACAGGCACGGTTGCTGTAGACCGCTAATCTCCCGAACGGAATATAAGCGAATGCTCCAAACTCTCGAACAGATAATCATACGAACTCCTTCTCTCCTGGAACAGGCGAAAGAATACTCCAAAGTAGCAATCCCCCCAAACATGAGACCAATCTCCGTCTTGAAGGTAAAACCGATTGAATGAGGGCTACCTGCAGGTCTCCCACCTGGTGGACACTCCCCTAGGGGACCAGATGGAAGACTGGGACACGTATGATACATTAGCCATTCACAGTGGCTCAGGCATAAACCCTCCCCTTGGTACAAGCAAACCCCTCCTCTCTATCCTGGAGATAATTGGGAAGAAATCCAATTATCTCCATGGATAGAGGCAAAACGTAATTTTAAATAATACAGTAAAAATACATAAAATTCTATAACTGTAAAACTCCATACATATAACGTATCCCCAGATAGCCTAGATCTGAGCACACATTATTACTGAATGGTGCTCAGATCCAGTACACACAGTTAAATCACCATAGAGCCAAAGTCTTTCACACTGTTCTTTCGGTATACAAAGGGCTCCATGGGATGGCCATCTGGGTTAAGTCCATTTGTGAAACAAAAGTCCCGAACGGACCGGTGTTCGTATGCCGGATGACAAAGAATGGAGGTCGGCGGTTTCAGCGGTGTTCAGGAGAAAAAGTGTCCGTTTTGAGTGTATTCGTGCATCTAAGATGGCCGCCGCATATGAACGACAACCACCCAGCATACGGTTTCAATTAGGAGGTGTCTGCGGTTAACCACAACGTTCGAATTGGGGCCAATAGGTTAACCAGCGGCACACTCCTCCTCTGGGTGGCCGGCCGTTCGGCAGTTTGTTCGGTAGATTAACAAATAAAAAACGGGGAAGTACGGACAGGCAATTACACAAATCCACCGGGAAAGCATTATAGTCCCAAGACAGAGGGATCTGTCACAGTAATATATCTAAAATGTCCTTTTATTCTTTCTATTTGGTAGTGAGCTGTCCCATACAGTGAGGGGAAAAAAGTATTTGATCCCCTGCTGATTTTTAACATGTGTCCACTGACAAAGAAATGATCAGTCTATAATTTTAATGGTAAGTGTATTTTTACAGTGAGTGACAGAATAACAAAAAAAAATCCAGAAAAATGCATGTCGAAAAAGTTATACATTGATTTGCATGTCAATAAGTAAAAAAAGGTTTTTGATCCCCTATCAATCAGCAAGATTTCAGGCTCCCAGGTGTCTCTTAAAGGGAGTGCTCCAAATCTCAGCTTGTTACCTGTATAAAAGACACCTGTCCACAGAAGCAATCAGTCAATCAGATTCCAAACTCTCCACCATGGCCAAGACAAACGAGCTGTCCAAGGATGTCAGGGACAAGATTGTAGACCTACACAAGACTGGAATGGGCTACAAGACCATCACCAAGCAGCTTGGTGAGAAGGTGACAACAGTTGGTGCATTTATACGCAAATGGAAGAAGCCTCCTTCCCTCAGCCAGGGCTTTGAAAATGGGTCGTGCATGGGTATTCCAGTGTGGCAATGACCAAGACACATCACCAGGGCAACAAAGGAATGGCTCAAGAAAAAGCACGTTAAGGTGGCCTATCCAGTCTTCAGACCTTAATCCCATATAAAATCTGTGGAGGGAGCTGAATGTTCGAGTTGCCAAGCGTCAGCCTTGAAACCTTAAAGACTTGGAGAGGATCTGCAAAGAGGAATGGGACAAAATCCCTCCTGAGATGTGTGCAAACCTGGTGGCCAACTACAAGAAACGTCTGACTTCTGTGATTGCCAACAAGTGTTTTGTCACCAAGAGCTAAGTCTAAGGGGTCAAATACTTATTTCACACATTGACATGCAAATCAATTTATAACTTTTTTGACATGCGTTTTTCTGGATTTTTGTTTTTTGTTATTCTGTCTCTCACTGTTAAAATACACTTACCATTAAAATTATAGACTGATCATTTCTTTGTCAGTGGGCAAACATTCAAAGTCATACTTTTTTCCTTCACTGTACTTGTGTGCAAGGATTAACCTATTCTTGACACTTGCTAGCACATAAATTAGTATATGTGGAGCTCTTCCTGGTAATGTATTGGTTTGTATATCAACATCTTGGGTCCATATTTTGCAGTGCTCTTGCAAGCTACATCTTGGTTCCATATTTTGCAGAACTCCTGCAAGCCTCATCTTGGGTCAATATTGTGCAGGGATCCTGAAAATCTCATCTTGGGTCCATATTGCATAGAGCTCCTGAGTCCACATCGTGCAGAGCTCCTGCAAGACGCATCATGGGTCCATATTTTGCCGTGCTCCTGCAAGCCTCATCTTGGGTCCATATTGTGCAGAGCTCATGCAAACCACATCTTAGGTCCATATTGCGCAGTGCTCCTGCAAGCCTAATCTTGGGTCCATATTGTGTGCAGTGCTCCTGCAAGCCTCATATTGGGTCCATATTGTGCAGTGATCCTGCAAGCCTCATCTTGGGTCCATATTGTGAAGAGCTCCTGCAAGCCTAATCTTGGGTCCATATTGTGTGCAGTGCTCCTGCAAGCCTCATATTGGGTCCATATTGTGCAGAACTCCTGCAAGCCTCATTTTGGGTCCATATTGTGCAGTGATCATGCAAGCCTCATCTTGGGTCCATATTGTGCAGTGATCCTGCAAGCCTCATCTTTGCTCCATATTTCACAGAGCTCTTGCAATCCTCATCTTGGGTTCATATTGTGCAGTGCTCTTGCAAGCCTCATCTTGGGTTCATATTGTGCAGAGCTCCTGCAAGCCACATCTTGGGTCCATCTTTTATTCACATTCTACAAACATAGTACTGACCACAGGGTTTTGAAATACAACCAATAAACATGTACAATACACTCAGACACTCCCACACAAAATCCTCCCCTCTGCCTGTGATACAATTGTAGATTATGCTAGCTTTAGTGTACCTATAATCTTAATTTTATTAATGACAGGAGGCGAGTATTTGCTTAAGTCTCTCTTTACTAGAACTCCACAGCAACAAGGAAAAACATCCAATCAGAAAAAAAGTTAGGTACTATAAAACTCCCCTCCCCATGCATCATTTCCTCTTTCAAGCTGCGACAAAAGGCAGAAAGCATCATGGGGAAGAAACAAAGTCCTAGATATAATGAATACAACAATGTCCACCATGCGAGAAGAACTGCCAAACCAGATGGCGTTGATAGACTGTAAACTGAAATGAGAGAAAAAAACAGAATTGAACAGGTTGGTTAGCCAATGAAATGTACTTTGAACAACATGTAGGTACCCAATGTAGCAACCAAAATTACTGTAACCTGCATAGATCCCAACCCGACTTATGAAAAACAGACATAAGAACAATTGACAGGTAGCCGAGACAACAAGCAGAGTTGCATACGTACCTGATGAACCCAAACTAATAAAATTAAACAAGGGAGGGATAAGGATGGGTGGGAAATACTCACCTCCTGTCATTAATAAAAATTAAGATTATAGGTACACTAAAGCTAGCATAATCTACAATTTTATAACATGACAGGAGGCTTTGTATTTGCTGTTTTAACGCTCAGCCGTCAGATCCAACGCTGTTTGTTTCGCTGGTACCTATTCCGTGAGATAATACAGCAATCCTAAATGGATCTTCCAACTGCGAGAAGTGTCAGTAGACGGATCAAGTAAGATGCCAGCTGTCGAGGCTCCCCAAAATGCGGAAAAACGCCATCATCTTGCAGATCCATTGTACGTGGGGTTGTGCCCTGTTTCTTTGCAGTCGGTCCATGAGCCGCCAAGCTGGCCTATTAGCCCTCTCCTGTAGGTGTCAATTGCTGAAGGTCATTTGCGGATTTAGAGTCGTGAGAAGAACCTGCCTGTCCTGACTCTTGATGCGGAAGGTGACTCGTCCGATCGTGTCTGGGTCACCAGGTGGTGTGGCCTTGCTGGCACAACTCCAACCTCAAGTAATGCGTCTAATTCCACCACCAAATTCATCGTAGACCTTAATAGGGTCTGTTCATTCCCTCATGACCTACCCGGTGAGTTGTCTCATCCGAGAGTAAATTAATCATGCAGGCAAGAGTACGGTCAAAACTAGCCGTCTCTTAAGTGATTCCAGTATCCCAAATAGACTATGTAACCCGCGACTGCGGTAGAGAAAAAAACTCCCAAAGGACTTCCAAACAGGGTCCCAACTGAACTTGTGTAGTGATCGGTGGTCGACTATTCTGGGGGAATTGTGAATACCGGAAATATACAAAAGAGAGGGAAATGTAGACCGGGTTTGAGATTTCCATACAGAGATATCTTAGCTAAGATTGCTAAGATGTCCGGATCCAATGGTAATCGAGACCTATATAACCAAGGAGAGTCCTCACGTGCTGTAGTGAGAGAGTGAAATAATCAGATTATTCGTTTGTATAATCCTGCTCGTCCGACCTGTCAAAATCCGTGTAGAAGCTCCTGGTCTGCACGCCACATATAAAATAGGGTATAATAGTTAAAACCCTTAGGTCCCTGTACCCTTGACTGTCCAGGCACGTATCTCCAATAATAGGCCCTAGGACAAAGGACCTAGAAATGTGAATGCAAGAACCGAAGTCAAGGCATCCCTATAGGGGAAAACTTCCTTTTTTAAACCTGGCGTCCCGCGAACACATAGCGTTGTCTCATAGAGTAGGTGTAAAGGATCCTTCTATTCGTGCAGCGATGATCCTTGCAGCTTCTCCCGAAATCCAGCTGAAAAGAAGTGATTATAACTCCCAATCCCCCAAACATGAGTCGCGACTTCATGAAGGGGTAAAACGATCTGATTTTCTGTGGTTTACCCGCCCGGTATTTTTGCAGGTCTCCCACCTGGTGGACACTCCCCTAGGGGACCAGATGGAAGACTGGGACAAAAGTATCACAGTAGCCAATCACATAAGCACTCCCCTTTTACATAAATCACTCCCTCTTTTCCATCCTGGAGATAATTAACTTAAGGTAGCAAAGAGAGCCTTAATTATCTCCAGGTAGAAAGAAACCTGGCTTTTCTTAGTTTAGCAAAACAGCATAAAAATCTATAACTTCCCTTTTATATAACATAAACTTTAAGTTCCACATATCCACAGATAGCTTGGATCTGAGTGCATACTCTAGGCGAATAGCTCTCAGATCCCACGAACACAGTTCTCAGAAACGTCGACTGAAGTTTGACTTTCACCGTCCGTTTGTGTGTTTGTAGCCAATTACAAGTTCCATACTGTAGCTATCTGGGGTCGGTCACTTTCGCATACTTCCAGCACACGAATGAAGTAGTATCTCCTTCATTCGTGTGTTTTTCCACCATACGAACGAGGATTTGAAGAGGTAGCAGCGGTGTTCAACAAAATAAGTAGCCGAAATTAGTTCCAGGGAATCCTCGCCTTTTACCGCTGAGCGTTCGACAATACAAAATGGCGATTGCCACGTGTTCGGTAAACGAACGCGGACCACCAGCTATTCCCCAATTAGTCTGTGATTAACCGCAACAGTCTGGGTGGTTAATAGGCGCCACACAACCTCAGTGGGAGGTTGGGTGGTTCGGTAGTTCATTCGCTTTTCTCGCTATTTGCACGAAATCCCGCTGTAATCATCCACATAACCGAAAATGCTGGTTCGCATGGTCTGTTTAATAAGGGATTTCGTTACAGTAGGTAAACGAAGAACAAGGGTCTAGCTGCAACCGTCCGAAGCAGGTATTGTCCAGTTGACAACGTCGGCGGCCATATCCGAGCCTGCTACAACTCCAGCAGTAGGTTGCGCCCCAACTTGTGACCTTCCTGTAGGAGCCGGGACTACACAGGCTTCCTCCCTAGCGCCCCTTGATGGTAGTTGTATAAGTGGGTTAGCGAGAACCCAAACCCAAAACGATTCCCGTGAGGGAGTTAGGGTATAGAAGGAAGGTCTTGCCTCTCCGAATCCTGTTCACCAGGTATGTTCTCAGAGGAGTAGAGACAGTCCCGCCTTCTTATCACAAGCTTGTTAATGACCAGGGAACCCAAGTTGACGAGGATACCGGTCTTTCCATGCGTACGGTGTACCTGTACACCTAAACAGAGTGCGATAGTTGTTTGAGATAGCGCAGATTGTTTTATCCTGTTCGTATGAATGGCTGTTTTCTATAGCCCAGCCATTCGAATGACTGTTTTTTCCCGAACAAACTAGCCGAACGGACGGCCACCCAGGAGAGAAGTGTGCTGCTGGTTAACCTGTTGATCCCAATTAGAACATTGTGGTTAACCGCAGACACTTCTCAATTACACGAATTCAGGGTGGTCGTCGTTCGTATGTCGACCACGAGGCAGCGGCCATTTTAAAACCACGCGAAAGCCCAGCGGTGTTCGGCTCTATTTTCATGGAACTAAAAACGGACACTTTTTCTGCCGAACACCGCTGAAACAACGGAACACCTGGCTGCCTCCACAAAAGCATACGAATACCGGCCGTTCGGGAGTTTGGGAAGCATACAAAAGGACTTAACCCAGATAGCCTTCCCATGGAGTCATTCGTATACCGCTAATAATATGCCCTCAGATCCAGGCTATCTCGGGATATGTGACACGAATGCAGAGTGTTCGGTTATTGTGAAATTATGTATTTTTATGTCTTTTTGGGTTTTATGTTTAAAATGGCGACTGGCTTTGTCCTGGAGATAATTGAGTTTCTTGGTAATTATCTCCAGGGTAAAAACTGTGTCTATGTGTCTGGAATGTCCCCATATCTATCTGTCATTTCAGTCTCCCATTTGGTCCCCTAGGGGAGTGTCCACCAAGTGGGAGACCTGCATAAATACGGGCAGGTAGCCCATAGTAAAGCCAGATCCTGTTTGACCCTCAATGCGGAGCTTCTGTCTCGTTATTGGGGGGATTTCTTCTTCACGTTTAGAGACTGCTGGATGGAAGCGAAAGCCATTTGGTGGATGTTATTGTTCGGCGGCTAGCAGCAGTTCGTGTATTGCCGTTCGGGAGTTTGGAGCCGTTCACGGATCCCGGTCGGGAGATTGCCGCTTCCCCTGCATTTGGTTTGTGCACTACAGGTTAGGCGAACGGAGTTACTGATATTGCAGACGGGGAAGGTCTACTAAACGGCGGTTTTGCCTAAAGACACTGGAGGTGTCTTAACACCCTCTATAACGAAATCTGAAGTACGGTCGTAGATCTAATGGAGGGGTTCTCTACCCTTGCCCCGTGTTCTGGAGCATCGTTTCCCTTGCATGCCGATGAGGTATTACACCCCTGTAGTAGGGCTGAAGCATCAGCGGCAAACTCGGTATGTGGTAAGCACCTCCATAGTGAATGGACTGCAGGAGGGACGCCCCTCTATGCAGTCATCGTTGTCCTGTACTGGTGCAGGCCAGTGTGATGAACAAATCAACGGTACCATAGTGCGTAGCGTTTATGAGGGAGCCGCACTCTCTATTAATGTAACTGCAGTCCGTGTCAGCGCCTGGCTGATAGCATGAGCGGGCCGCACCCATTAATAACCAGATTTTTGAGTCTACCTCCATGTCGCTCCTTCCAGGAGAAAGATTCACACTCAAAACCTGTCCTCTGTATCGATCTCAGTCTCGGGCTGAGGTTGAGGGAGGGCTGTGCATTCTAATAATGGATCAATGTCTGGTTCAACATATGAGAGTGGCCCGCTCTCTACTCATGCAAACAATGGGAAACAGTCTCAGGTCGAGGTGATGGAGGGTCGCACCCTCTGGTAATCCAGACTAGAGTCCACATAAGGCTCAGGGTGATCAACTGTGGGGTTCCCCATCCAATAATATCCACATAGGACTGAGATCCTGTGAAGGGACCCCCTCTGACCAAGAGACCTCTCTCAGAACCACCCACCTGAGAGGTGGAATCGTCTGGTAATAAACCAGGCCGATGGTAGATAGGGTTGTATACAACCTTGGGACGTGTCCTTCTTTAAACAACCGAAGGGCTGATGAGAAGAAGCAACCGCAGGAAGCAATGATGGAGTCTACCAACGGACTGCCCGGATCCCGTGCGCACGCTCGGGATCCGGGGTGACTGCCGGTAGCCTGAGGAAAGCTGG